CTCATGGCCGGCAACTCCTCGCACCCGGCCAAGGCGGAGAAGCGCGCGCGCCGCGACCTCGAAGCCGCAGCGGCGCAGGAGGCCTCGGCACCGTCTCGGAGTGGACGCGGCACGATCCGTGCCCTCTCGGTGCAAGAGCTCACCCGAGCTTTTCTGGCGCACGATGATGAGTCGGGCAACGCTCGCTGCTTTTCCAGAAAGGCAACGCCTGTCAGCAACACAGCTGACCAATGGCCGAAATCGGCCTTATTAGGCACAGTGTGCTAACCGCCAGGGTGTGCCACATCGTTTACCGATGCAATCTGCTTGCCACAAAAGCGGAGCTACCTCAGATAACAGCACTAGCAGCCGTTCCACGTGCTAGCTAGAGCAGACTTTCGCTGCTCTAATTTGACTGCCACGGGCTATATATCACCTTTGCGACCTTACGGCCCATCGCCTCTGATTGAGAGTGACCATGAGTGGGACGCCACGCAACAGGCACTCTGAGTGACGGTCCCGCGGGGTACGGCTCATCAATCATTGGTTCGTGGACATGGGACGCCATAGTCCACACTGAGGGTGTCGGAGGGTTTCTCACCCACGCCTGAGTAATATGAGCTGGCTTCTGATGTAGCTTGTAGGGTAGCTCTCTCTTACGTTAGCCTGTTCTCAGTGCTCTCAGGCCCAGGCCCTTTGCATTTCTGCTCTCAGACCTTTGCTCAGGTGCAAAGGCAGTCTCACACGCCCGCAATGAGCAGAGCCCGCTCGCTCAGCGTCCAATAAAATTGTTGTTTTTGTTGTTGTTGTTGTTGTAGCCGCTATGGATCACAGCAGGCTGTGTAGCATTGCTAACAAGGCTCTGGGTACCAACGCTAGAGGCTCGCAACGGCCCCCTTCTGCGAAGCTTAAGGGACTGTCCTCTTATTGAGCCATAGCTATTCCCGGAGCCGCGCGCCGTTGTGTTCTACCGGGTCCCAATTCCCGGGCCTCTGTCTGCAGTTATACAACCTTGGCAAGAGGTAAGCGGTAGGGTTCTCACCTTTCCGCGGGGTGAAGGGAGTCGGATCGAGTTCTCTCTTTCCGGCGAAACTAGCGGAAGGCGCGTCGACTGTGCCTCAGTACTTTTCTTCTGCCGATGCTTTTACATTTACAAAAGGACCTGCCGCACCAAGCCATTCAAGGGGCGGCCCCAGTCATGGGTTGGCCATCTTCTGCACCTGGGTATCCTGAAGGAAGCTTTCGAGTTGAGGCCTCGTTCCGCTCCTCTCTTCGACTTTCCAGCTACACGACAAGACACCCAGGTACAGCTCACGGTCTCTCCTGCGCAGTTTTGCTGGCGCTCTGGTTTTGCGCTTTCACTGGTACACCTCCGCAAGAAGGACACGGATCGTCTGGTATTCTCATGCAGTTTTCTTCGAGCACTAGTTTTTCCTTCAACGGCACAGTGGACTGCCACCAGCTGCTACGAAGCCAGTGCCATCGAGAGTTCTTCGTCACGGTTGAGTGTTTTCTGCGCTTCACTTCTGTTCAGCCGCCAGCGCCTGGGAGCAAGTCAGACTCAGGACAGGCTAGGCGCAACGTGGTGACTCACAACGCGTCAGCATCCTCCCAATGCTGGCCCCGACGGGCATTCCAGGGACTCCTCTTGCTATGGGGTGCCCTTGAGGGCCTAGACGGGCTATCCTCTCTTGAGGGGGAGGCCTCTCGGGGGCCGCCGGGCCAGACTTGTCTACAAGACAAGGCGCAGATTGGGACACTGGGGACTCAGGTTCAGCAGAGTTGGCCAACGTCTTCAGTTCCGGCACGGTGTCTACCTGGTACGGCTCCACGTCACATCTGGGTACAGTCGTTAAGCGGACGCGCTTGCTGTGCTATGGGTGTCGGGCTACGGCTACGGCCCTCCCAGGTGTGTTCGTTACTGTCCTGTTACCGACGGGGTCAGGCAGTGCTAGGAGTGACGGCCCACGTGTTTTTGCTTGACGACGAATTATCCTTACGGCCCATCGCTGGTAGTCGGGAGTTACCTAGTGTGGGACGCCCCTAGACGGGAACTCTGGGAGACGGCTCTTCTGAGTACGACCCACCGGCTGCCAGTTCGTGAGTATTGGACGCAATGACTCACACTGAGGGTGACGGAGGCTACATGACGACGACTTTGTGAGTCGGGCTGTCACGTTAGGAGTTTCGGGCATCGCTCGCGTGAAAAACGGGCAACGCCTTTGTAACTGAAGTCAACTTCTTGTGGCCTATCCCCTAGAGGCTGGTGCCCAAGAGCTGTTGCTGCTGTGTACAGTCTGCAGCGCTGCTCTTCTTGACTTAGGCCCTTTCTCTTGTAACGTTTGTAGCATCGGCTCCTCTTTTTCCTTCACTGAGGATCCTATAGGGGTTGCGCGGTCTTCTCTGTTGGTCTTGTTAGGTCAGTTCGTTTTGGCTTGTTTGACGCGAGGCCTCGGGGCCTGACTTCGGTCGTAGTTCTCAGAAACGGATGAAGGAGGTACCTGCGATTCTCGCATGGGCAGTCCCCTCGCGCAAAGCGCCAGTCTGTTTCTTTTTCTTTACAAGGCCGCCGGGCGAAGACCGCGTAACCTCTATAAGAATGTCCGCAGGTCAGATTCTAAGGGAGTGGTGCTGGCTTATGGCAAACCTCGGTGGCGCTGGCTCACGGCACACTCGGGGATGGCACGCTTCCGAAGTTTCTGCTCGCCCGCAATGAGCAGAGTCCGCTCGCTCAGCGTCCAATAATAAATTGTTGTTGTTGTTGTTGTTGTTGTTGTTGTTGTTGTTGTTGTTGTTGTTGTTGTTGTTGTTGTTGTTGTTGTTTTTGTTGTTTGTTGTTGTTGTTGTTGTTGTTGTTGTTGTTGTTGTTGTTGTTGTTGTTGTTGTTGTTGTTGTTGTTGTTGTTGTTGTTGTTGTTGTTATTCTTCTTCTTGTTGTTGTTGGTGTTGTTGTTGTTGTTGTTTGTTTTTTGTTTTTTGTTTGTTTTGTTTTGTTGTTTTTGTTGCTGCTGCTGTTGTTGTTGTTCTTTGGTGGTGGTGGTGGTGGTGGTGGTGGTGGTGGTGGTGGTGGTGGTGGTGGTGGTGGTGGTGGTGGTGGTGGTGGTGGTGGTGGTGGTGGTGGTGGTGGTGGTGGTGGTGGTGGTGGTGGTGGTAGCGGTTGTCAGGTCTTCTGGGTGCTGGTTCTTTTGGGGCGGTTGGGCTTTCGGGGGTCTGGATTCTTTTTCGAGACTTGACCTAGCTGGGCGCTCCATGGCACGGAGAGGTTTAGAGATGCCTGCAGCAGTCTGCAGATGCGGAGGCTGCAGTTTCCTACAAGTAGGACGTCAGACGAGTCAGTTCGGCAGTTTCGTTATTAAGAAACCTGAAATTCCCAAGCCCTTCGTTTCTTCTTGACCCTCGGCACTCTTGAGAGGTCTTAATGTCGAAGGTTCTTCGCGTAGTAGTTGCAGTTCTCGCAGGTAGGATTTGAGGTGGTAGCAGTGTTTTGGCCACGCCCCGCACTCCATCCCAACCCTTCCAGAACATCACGCCCTCCTGCCCAGCATTCCTCCTTCACCCGGTTATGCATCCAAGTGCCCCACTTACGCACACCTCGCGAATGGCAGAAGCTGCAGGTGTCACATCCAGGATCTCCCGCTGTGCTCGCATACCGGCACCGCCGGAGGCCCGAGTGGGGCCTTCTGAGTGAGGTCTATCGGAGACTGTCGTTCATAGCTATTCCAGTCTGGTTCTGGAGCTTTATTCTTAGACTCAAAGCCATCTCAAAGCCCCTCTCACACCTTTTTCTTGCTGTGCCGCTTTGAGACGTGAGGCTTGGCGGGTTGCGGGCGTAGGTTTGGGTATGCGAGGGTTGCTGGTGAGCATGTTTTGGGGCTGCAGGCCGGCATGGGGGAAAACAGTTGCGGTTCGTGAGTTGCCTAGTTATACATTTATACACCAGCCGAGTACTACCACTACCACTACCAGTACTACTACTACTACTACTCCTCCTCCTGCTGCTGCTGCTAAGGCGGCTACGACTAGTACGAGTACTACTACTACTACTACTACAACTACTACTAATACTTCTACTACTTCTACTACTGCTACTACTGCTACTACTACCACTATACTCTACTACCACTACTACTACTACTACTACTACTACTACTACTACTACTACTACTACTACTACTACTACTACTACTACTACTACTACTACTACTACTACTACTACTACTACTACTACTACTACTACTACTACTACTACTACTACTACTACTACTACTACTACTACTACGACTACTACTCTACTACTACTACTACTACTACTACTACTACTACTACTACTACTACTACTACTACTACTACTACTACTACTACTACTACTACTACTACTACTACTACTACTACTACTACTACTACTACTACTACTACTGCTACTGCTACTGCTACTACTACTACTACGACTACTACGACTACTACGACTACTACTACTACTACTACTACTAATATTACTACGACGATCACGACGCCGACTGCTACTTTTGTTGCTGCTGCCTATGTGTAAAAGCCTCTGCCGACAGACTCGCCGCAGCACTCGACGTTTGCACGTGGCAGTGGGTTCCCCGGATCTGTTCGCATCCTGCCTCCGCAATTGGTAATTAAGTAGTGTATGGTTCGTGCTATTTCAGAGGCGTTTGAAGAGAGACAGTTACGCCTCCACCACCGAAGCCCCATGCTCCCCGTGCGAATTTGCGTCAAGTTTGTCCCTATGGAAACCTTATGAAGGTCTGCGCTCAGGTGCTGATGCACTCAGATCATGATGTGTGCCTGTGAACCGTCATGATTCGTGCCTGAGACTTATCACCATCAAGGACGCAAAGTGTAGCAGTGTAGTTCATGTTGTGGTAGGCTTTCATCTGGTTCTTAGTAGTCCCAAAAATACCGCCGAGTATCAAGCTTCGAACCGTAGTTGAACATGTGAACATGAAGGCGGACCATTCTAGGGCCAGCGTTTCTATCCGATTGGCTTTGGGGAAAATGGAGATGGAAGGAGCAACTCTGGGTCTTGCAGGTCTGGGGGGTTGGAGTACGCCTTGAGGCTTAGGGTGGCTAAGGTTTGGGATGTGTTGCATGTGCTGAGGTTCAAAGGTCCATTGGATTCGCAGTTCAAAGGTTTCGATCGAATCATTTGCATTTCTACACATGAATGGTCGGGTATTGTTCTATCGAGGCCCAAGGATGATTTGGCACTTCTTTGATGCTGGACTTCGGATTTGGGACATCTGGGCAGGTGTCGCAGACAACTCAGGCTTTCGATTTCCAGTGAAGCTTAGAGCGGCAGTGTAAGACCTTTATGGTGTAGAGCGGAGGGCAAAAAGGTGAAAGCCGAGCCTAGCCCTATTCTTTGCAGCCCTGAGAGAGACTCTGAAATTTGCTGCGATGATTCTGTTCTCAGTCTGGATCCTGTCGACAGAACCAAATGTTGGAGCATCCCGAACCAGGACATGCCTTTGGCCGGAAACGCTCTGAAGTCCTAAAGCCCAAAGCGTTCTCGGCTTGATTAAGATGCAAGTTGCATCATGCAACCTTTGGCCTTCAGCACGCCCAAGGACTACGGCATTCCCTCAAAATCCCGGAGATGGCTGTAGTATAAAGGCCAAGACGGGTCTGAGGATTTCTGTAGCATCTGACGTGGAACAGGTGCCGTCATCTTGCTGACCTTCCACTTCTACGCGCATGGGCATCGTTTCAAATCTTTGCCCTCTTTGCTGGGCTGCTCTAAATCTGAAACCAGCGAGCCTTGGGAAAGGTTTACTGACAAAACTGAAGTTTACATGAATGAAACATAAGCAAAGGAGCAGTTGCTACAACAAAGCATGACTAGATTAAGTCCTCAAGCAGAGGAATTATTCCTGCAAAGAGTATCGGAACAGTAAAGCCAGAGATAAACAATTTGCTATTGCTGTTGTAGAACAAGACATAGCGCTAGTAGTATTAGTATTGTTACTATGATGATGATGATTATTATTATTACTAGTAGCAGTAGTAGTGAAGCAGTAGCAGTGGCAGTAGCAGTGGCCGTAGCAGTAGCAGTCGCAGTAGCAGGAGCAGTAGTAGTGGTGGTAGCAGCAATGATAGTGGTATCGGTAGTGGTGCTGGTCGTAGTAGTCGTCGTAGCAGTAGTTAGTAGTAGTCTAGTGGTAGTCCAGCAGAAGTCTAGTACTAGTCTAGTAGCCGTAGCATTAGCAGTAGCAGCAGCAGTGGCAGTCGCAGTAGCAGTAGCATTAGCAGGAGCAGGAGCGCGAGCAGCAGCAGCACGAGCAGGAGCAGTAGCCGCAGTGTCGTCTCAGTCGCCGTCCTGGTAGCTCTACAGAAAGGGCTACCATGGGGCCTGCGTTTGGGACACATCACGTTTCGCGGTTTCGCAGCGATTTGTTTCACATCATCTTGCTATCCTATGCTTGTATAAACAGTTCTGGGTTATTTACTGTATTGTTCGTACTTGTAGACATTTATGTCGCTTATCAATAATGTTGTTGTTTATAAGCAGGGCCTGTGTTTATAAACAGTGTCTGTGTTTATAAGCATGGCTTGTGTTTATAACCAGGGCTGGCGTTTACAAACTAAGATGAAAGAGGGGGGGGGGGAGGGGGGGGGGCTGAGGGTTTGGGGCTGACATGTTGAGACCTGCTACCCCTCCCCCCCCCCCCCCCCCCCCTCCCCTCTCTGTACTGCGTCCCGTCCCCTCCCCCAACCCCAATCCCACTCACCATGCACCACACACCAAAAACCAAGCGCGCGCTGGCACCTTTTCCACAAACTTTACCACTTTGTCTATCCTCCTTGGAAGAACACGTCGAGTTGCTGTATTTCTCGCATACAACACAACTTCGTTCGCCGATGTTGTGAAAACACTGGTAATTACAATGTCCTTTTGCGTCTGAAGTGTATGAGTTTATGCTTTGTGAACAAGTTGTATAGCATCACCCTTCCCTGTCTATGAACAAATGGTTTGTTCAGGGCACGTGAGCTGCTTACAGAAGTGCTGTATCTTCTTACGGTTCACAGGGTCTCGGCTGTACACAGACCGTCGCGATGTACACATCAAGGACAGTCGTAAGGATGGAAGGCGGTTTAGGGTTTAGGGTTTAGGGACCAGAAAGAACCCTCAAAGCCTTATTTTGACATTCCATCATAGTTTCACTCTTCAATAGAAGCTAAATTCTGGCAATATCCGACATTGCTACTGCCAGCACTACAGCAGTTTTTTGGGGAAATTGCGTTCTTTACTTCGAGATCAGCTTATGTGACTTATGTGACACTGATGTATTGTATGTATGTCATAATGCAAGGCTTCCGAGCCTTTGCTTCCTGGATATGACGATATACACTGTGTGTGCTGTTGTGTTTCGCTGATTTCCGCTATTCGCTTGCCTTGTGCTGTTGATTTCGACGAACGTGGTGATACATCCATATTTTGAAAAATTGTGGATCTCGACAAAAACGCATCTTCGACTGGGAAAACCATGATGCAGAGTGTATGCGAGTTGAGGACCGTGTTAATGTGAAAGTGGTGGGGTGGCAACTGGGAAAACAACTGTTCAAGGGTCATCGCAACCTAAATCACATGAACCGAACAGAAAGCTATGTATTGCTGTGAAACTGGAAGGCCTAGGCTCCAAATACGTAGCACTGCGTTACAATAGAAACTAAATCTAAAACACACTACTCACTGATTTGTGTACATACAGGCAGTGTGCACCCCTGACACAATGTGTGTTGTAGCACTGCATAAAACATACTATGTATGTACATGCTCCCAGTTTGCAGCAGTAAATTCCTGCGATTGTCAGCATTGTTGTATACTGTTGTGAAGCCCCGCATAGGTAGGTAATACTGCAATCTTCAAACTGGGAAGAAAGTGGAAACTCACGGACATGTGCCAACTCAACACACAAGGAAATCAGAACACGGCGGGCGACACGGCTCCAAAGATTTTCGAGAGTCCAAGTTGTGGAAACAGATGCACGGTGCGTGAAATACTTTGTCTTCTTTCGTTTCGCTCGGATGTGGCCGGGTGTCCACTGCGTACAGGGTGCCATAATTAGTGATTATTATTCGTACCATGACCATGCAAGCACATAAACAGTGCATGTGCTCATGTAAGTTTAGCTGTGGAATATATACATGTGCACGTGTATTCGAGTGTATGCATTTTATATGTTCATAGGCCCTCATGGCCTTTTACAAGCAATTGCAACCACACACACATGTATAAATACATATATATATATATATATACATACGTACGTACATACATGCACATGCATAGGTGCTTCGTATAATGCTAAAACGCCAAAGACGCCCAAAAACATAAAATGCAAAACCCAGGCCCCATGACAGCCCGCTCTCTAGCTCTAATTGAACCAGCTGATGCAGCATGTACGTTGGCCGCAGCTAAATGCTAGGGCCTAATGCGGGAAAGTCCGATAGAGGTGTTCAAGGTACGATCGGGCACTATATACAACACGCACGTCGTTTAGGGTGCCGCGGGTACGCGGGTTTTGTTTTTGCTGTGTCGGAGGGTAATCACTCTTGAAGCGGCTTGGGCACAGCACGATTCGTGAACTCTTCAAGCGACTCATAGGTTCTAATTAGTCAGGCCCGTGATGTCAACGTAGCTAGGTCAGCCTCGATATGCACCTATGCAGCTTGACATGGGTAGGGCTTTGTCGTGAGGCCCCTTCCACTGTCGGGAACGTAGGTGGGGTTTACGTTGTGGGGCTTTGTGAACAGTGACTTGCTGGCCTCTGACGGTGACTGAGGACGCTGACGAGAAGCTTCAGAAGGATCGAGCAAAGCACATCCAGGAAGAGCTATGGAAGGTACGCGCCAGAACCTACTGCCTGATCGTAAGCTTCATGGTGCATGCTGCGCCCGTGATGACCATTGTATTCCTTTACGAATTTGCCACGCACCTTCGCTGAAAGCAGAGGCTAGGAATACTAGACAGGGCAGCTACTTGACAGTTCTGCAGGGGCAGGCTGTCGGGTGCTGATCCTTTCAGATCCGGCTCAGACACGTGTCCTATGTCTCATCATTTCCTAGACAAACAAGGAATGAAAACGGGTCAAGACAATTGGCAAGGAAATTCGCATCGAGGGTATGTCGACCATTTGGCCTTCGTTCATGTTCACGGCTCTGCTGGTTCCCTGCTTAAAGTCCCGTCGAATCAAGTGATAAGGGCGATCTCGGGCATCAGCAGTTTTTTTAGCAAGATTGTTCATGCATTGTTTACACACGCAAGCAAACCACCAGCACAAGCACCACCAACACCAACACCAAAACCAACCACCACCACCACCACCACCACCACCACCACCACCACCACCACCACCACCACCACCACCACCACCACCACCACCACCACTGCCAGCACCACCGCCGCCACCGGCGCCAGAAACAACAACAGCAACAGCATCGATGGCAGCAGCAGCAGCAGAAGCAGCAGCAATAGCGACGGCAACAGCAATAGAAACAATGAGAGCAACAACAACCAACAACGGCACCAACACCAACACCAATCCGAACAGCAACATCGTTGGCATTCAGGATCGGCACAATATTGATCGTCTCCAGCAGCAGTACCATCATGGTCGTAGTTCTATTTAGAATCAGCATTGCTTACGATCTGAAGCACTGCCCAGGATGTTTTCCTACTTGGGACTGGCCCGACTTGTCTGCATGTTTCTGGTGTTCCTTGGGTGAGTCAGCAGCCGTTTGGTTTTGTGTGGCTTGGGCTTGCCACGATTTCGTTCTTGACGAGCTTCAAATTTGGACGTCGAGTTTAGCGTTTGTTTTGAATCTTGAATGCTGGGATGAGGATCCTGACGAGTCATGCTTGCAAGTTCAGGCGGTTTGCGCATGGTTGTGACGTCGTGAGCCGGCGGTGCCATGGGCTGTAGGTGAGAGCCAGTCACCTCGTTAGAGGCTTCATGCATGCTGAATACCATGGCCTTGCAAACATTGTGGCCGATAGTTGTGCCAGTTGAGGCCAGTCGAAGTGTTCCTTCAATGTTCGCACACTCTACGCAGTCCCCTTCGTGGCAGTTCTGGAGTCCCCATGCCATATCAAGCCAACACATGTATGTTGTGTGCTTCTTGAGGCTATCACCTCGAGCATAGGCACTTTGGTGACCTAGAGCCTTCGTCAAAGAGCTGTCAGATCATGAGTTGCGAAAGGGCTTCATGTTGGCCGGGTCTCCCGCCTGGAGCAGGTTAGCATTCCGAAGGAGAGGACTCAGAAACATCTTCCGGCTAACTCGCAATCACAACACCCTTTTTCTTGGACACTTGCTGCTCCCCCGCACAGCCGTGGTGAAAGGATGGCTTAGCCGTTCTCCGCTGGTAGCATCATTAACTTAGCCCTGCCACTGCAAGCGGAGGTACATGCATCATACCGGTGTCATCACCGGAAGGCTGCCGCTTAATCCAGCGAGATTGCGAGTTCTCTACATTTTGCGACTCGGACTCCAGAGCCAGCGCATGAGTGCATCTTCTCCGTCGCCCTTCTAAGCTCTACCTAATTTGAGTGCCTGCTCCGTGAGCTGATCAGCTGACAGAGGCTGTGGTGTGATGCGGCTTCAGGTCTTGATGGCCCTTGAAACACCCCCGCCTTGAAGCCAGCGGCCAGTGTATCGGTCTTAGGTACTATGGATCCTTCGCAATGCTGCTCCTGGGTGGGATCTTCCATCGTGACAGCGACGCAAAAGCGAGGTCATTGCAAGCCTTCAACGATGGGTGCCTCAGCTTCATGGTTCGGTGCCTCTGGTTCGCACATCTTAGGACACTTGGAAGGCTTGACTAAGTGAGATTGCTGCCATTGGCACTAATGTTCCACCCTGCTCTCAGAGAAAAGCCAACCTGCGTAAGCGAAGCCACGGCTAAGCTTGGGGATGTCATCCTGGAACCTAGCGCACGACGCTGAGTCCCCTGCAAATGCTGCGGTGCAAATGCATAATGCCTTCCAATCACATACTGCCCTGAAAATTTCAATTCTAGACTGTTAACATCCCGGGCTTCCGGCTGACGGAGACGGTCTAGGAAGGACAAACATGCACGAGGCCTGTTCTGCTTGCATATAGTCCTTGCGCTGGACCTGTGCTTCTCAAGTCCTGTACGAGGCCCGGACGTCCCATTGGCCCATAGTTACAGAACTTGCGCGAAGTACATCAGTCGGCGTTGTCCTGGTCCAGAGTTTTTCCGACCTCCTAAGAAGGAGGCCTCAGCAGTACGACAGAAGCTTTGACCCAAGACCGTCTTCATACCCGAAAGGCTATTTTCAGGAACCGAAAAGCACCCTGACAACAACTTGGGTGTGGGATACAACTACTTTATCGGATTGCTGAACAAGTGCATCATGGGAGATTCCAACCTTGTGGGTTTTTGTTTAGGTGCTTGCATGGTTCCTTTCATTCAGCAGCACCTCAGCGCGAGTAGTAGCAGCACTCCTAGCAGCACTATAGACGAGGAGGAAGAGGGGGATGCGAAGGAGAAACCAATCAAACCAGCAGTAGCCGCAGGATGCCTCGTCATGCAACAATTTTGATGTTATTCGATGTTCTATTCCTAGACCAAGTATCCAACTTAGACCCTACATTTGCACATTCCCGGGCTCCACGCAAGCATCCGAGGGGTCGCCTTCTTATGTCGGTCGTCATTATGCACAAGCCGACAGCACTTCCTGCACAATTGGCCACCTGGTCCAGGGCAGGTTCTGGATTCCAAGGCGGAAAGACTTGGAAGCCGGGTCAGTACTTACATGTTCGAGGTTTTGTTCCCGAAAGCATTGCGAAGGTATTTTCTGTAGAGGTGGTCGCTGCAGCATGGATTGACATTTGATGCATCGCCTTATATGTGAGGTTTTCGTGAACATCTCTCTGTAGGTTAGATTGACGTTTGATGGAAGGCATGATGTGAGGTTGTCGTGACATTCTCTCTTAATCAACGTACATGTGTTTCAAATCACGGGCGCGGCTGTAGCGGTGGGAGTCGCCATGATGGTGTTGTGCAGGTGGTGCCAGGACGATGCGTGCGCATGTACTCGTGCTCGGAATTGAGAACCATCTTTGTGGATACGGCGTGTCCAAATCCTCCGACAAGCACGATACTTTGGGACTTCCATACATTGGCCTCAGTATATCCACGAATAGCTCGCTGGACCCGGCGTGTCTGCGTCCCCCGGAAAGCGTGATCCATTGTTAAATTCCTGACATGACAACAACCTTCTCGGTGAATCCGGCGCATGTTGTAATCCCGCCAGTGTATGGGAGGAGGCATTTTAGTAATGTGTCTGTTGGTCCCGCTACATCGCGCTTCGTGTGGCGTGACGTGCCGGTTCGCGCTCCGAGATGACAACCCTCGGTAGACCCGCGTGCTCGCGCGCCCTCCTGAAGACTCGATGAATATTCCATTAGATTGGCCTCGTTTTGGCCTTTGCAACAAGGTGTAATTTACAGACGCATGACGTCCGAGATGGTCAGGTCGAAGGGCGTCGGGCATTCGTGGAGAGTTTTGTTTGTTGATGTTGGTGTCGTTTGTTTGTACCCCTACCCCCACGTCACCCCTCAAGCCGGCCGATGACAAGATACAGCATCATGGTTTGCGAACGCAGAAGCAACGTCTTCGAGTGCCGATCGCAACGCATGAGCATCGCATGAAGCATTTGCCGCATGCAGGCCCAGGACCCAGAAATGCTGGCTATACTTGTACCATTGCAAATCCATAAAGCACGTTTTTTTGACTCTGGATAAAGACTTGGTCGCCTGAGCGTACCTGTAGATTTGTCCTGTTCCGGCGGTGCTGAGCGGATTGCTCTTTTTGATTACGCTCATGTTGCATTATGCTACCGAAACATGGGCCTTGGACATTAAAGCCGAATCTAAGCATCATTATGCTAAGACGTGCGAGCTGTATGTTGTCCGTCGTCAGTAACTCAGTATATAACATGGCCATGTTGGTGTTGTTGCCACTGTTGTTGTGATGTTCATGGCGTGCAGTACCAGCACCGTGGCTGTTCTTGCTCTTTGTGCCCGGTGAACATCGGCAGGGAGTTTCGGCTTTAGGGCGTAGGGTCCATCGGTTTTACAAAAACGTGTCAAGTGCAAGGCTATTTCCGCAGCCGAGATTGCTGTGTACTGGTTCCAGCACAACGATGTCGCAGAGACCGCAGCTGCTCGATCGCGGCTGGCGACTGCCTGTAGTCTCGACCGTCTTCGACCCCAAAGCCGAAATCTCTAAATCCCACACAGCAGCATGCAGGCACGTCAAGTTGATGCTTGCTCGAAACAGCCATGCAGTGTGCAGAGCGCGGCCCCGACAAATTAATCCACATTCCTGCCGCAGCAGGGCAGTCGAAAGCTCCGTCAGACCCCATGAGACCGACATAGGCCGCCTCTCCATATCCCGATGTGTACACCCAACTAATATTCTCAAGCATATAGATCTTTGAGCCTCCGCCCAGCCACAAAGAGGCTTTCGCAGGGGTTCAGCTTGTCTTTGCCGTCGCGAATGTCGGAGTCACCGTGACCCTGGAGCCGACTGGTCAGCAGAAGAGTTTCGGTGGTTTCTGCAGCTTCGGGCCCGGGAATTGGATGCTCCACATGTAAAAATGCACATTTATTCTGTGTTTACTCATTTATGCACACACGCGGAGAGTATATACATACATGCAGATGTAGATATTCAGAAAGATATGACTAGTATGCATTCACATACATAGCAAGCCTACCCAGTCAGTCAATCAATCAAGCGAAGTCAGCGATCTAATCCCTGTTTCAGTGACTTCTCCCCCGTTTCAGCACTAACCCGAATCCCACAGCTGCTGATGCTGACATTTTTGTTTAAAAGGCTCGGTCTTGGGGGGAAAGCCCAGGACCTCCGGAGCCTCTTTCGAGCTCAGGATGTTGGATTCGTGTGTTTCTGACTCTGTGGCCCCCTGCACCCTGAGTCCTCGGAGAACCCAGGTACTGGGTGACTTCTCACATCAGTGCCCTCTTGGATGCAGAGTCCATGGTCGGAAGCTTTCGGAGGATGCTGCGAGGCCTTGGGGTTGGCCGGGCTCACCTTTGGCGTATGCCAGGACCAGGGACCAGGGCTTTCGAGTTCCTTTGCGATTTGCCGCCGGTGAAACCGAGAGGAAAAGTCCAAAATCGCAGGAGCCCAGTTGAACTTCAAAGGATCCTATACGGAGGTACTGCATCAACGCGATGAATGTTGCTCACGGGCTCGGCTCGAGACCTTCAACCCTAACATATGTTTTGTATCGCCATTAACATGTGAATTCCGAGCCAAACATCCAACGACCCTTACAGCCTTGTCTGCGAGGCGTTTGCGATGGTGAGGTTCTCCTGAGGGAGGACATGACCATCTGCGAGAATCCAGAGTGCATCAAGCAACCTGCCGGACTAGACCCAAAGCGGAACCCGAGATTCTACACTGCATTCTCTAGCACGCTGAAAGATTTGCCGTGTGTGCTAAGCGTTTTGCTCAGACCTTTCCCTGCCCTTGCTTTCAACAAATCAAGACCTTTCTCTTCACTCGTTCTGCCGACACCTCAAACGCCTACGGCCCAGCGAAGAGCTTCGATCCACAGATGGTCTTTCCAGAACCTGTCGCCCAGGCATTTGCTCATGACGCATCACAGCTTTAAAGGACGGTGTTCCGCAGTTCAGGTTGTTTCGGCGGACTCAATGGGCAAAGCTGCAGGGTATGTTTGTCAACTAGGACGTTAGAACCTGGATTTTGGTGTTATTGGGTGTTACCTATTACTGACACCAGCAACTCCACCACCACTACCGTACCGGGACTTACTACACTACCACTACCACTACCACTACCACCACCACTACCACTACCACTACCACTACCACTACCACTACCACTACCGCTACCACTACCACTACCACTACCACTACCACTGCCACTGCCACTGCCACTGCCACTGCCACTGCCACTGCCACTGCCACTGCCACTGCCACTGCCACTACCACCACGACCACCACCACCACCACCACCACCACCACCACCACCACCACGACCACTACCACTACCACTACCACTACTACTACTACTACTACTACTACTACTACTACTACTACTACTACTACTACTACTACTACTACTACTACTACTACTACTACTACTACTACTACTACTACTCCTACTACTACTACTACTGCTACTACTACTACTACTACTACTACTACTACTACTACTACTACTACTACTACTACTACTACTGCTACTGCTACTGCTACTGCTACCACTACTGCTACTGCTACTGCTACTGCTACTGCTACTGCTACTGCTACTGCTACTGCTACTGCTACTGCTACTGCTACCGCTGCTGCTACTGCTACTGCTGCTGCTACCGCTGCTGCTACTGCTACTGCTGCTGCCTACTACTGCTCCCGCCGCTACCCGACCACTACTACGACGACGAACCCTATTGCTGCTGCTGCTCCATCTCCTGCGGCTGGTACCACCACCACCACCACCACCACCACCACCACCACCACCACCACCACCACCACCACCACCACCACCACCACCACCACCACCACCACCACCACCACGTTTACTCGGGTTGACGAATCGCGGAACGTGTGGTTCTCCTTTGGGGGTACAAAGGTTACCATTGCTCAGAAGCCCTACACGCTAGGCAGGCTCAATTCAAAATCTGGTGGCCCCCAGCCGAACTCCGTGAGTGTTTCGTGCGTGTGCCAAACTTGCTGCTACCTGGCACAGCTGGTTTGGTTTCAACCTTCAGGCGTTGCGGTATGGGAGTTGGATGTGCAAGGTCATTGCCCTTCAATCCCAGCACAAGCCGAGTCAAACCTCAAGACAGAATGCCGCACAAAATCTAAGCGTGAATCTTATATGCCGAAGCCCTGAGGAAGACATTTCCAACAGCTGCTGATGCCAGACGAGGTGGAGAGTTCCCCTGCGGCAAGGATAGGCTGCAAGGTTTTGGCATTCGGTCTAAACAATGAACCCCACAGGGGGCGCTTTGTTAGATTCTTAGGGTTTGCCCATTCATACGTGTTAACTCTGAGCTGGATTACGTTGTTCTTGGACGCACTGCTCGAGATAGCCTGCATGGGTTGCAGTGAGGGTCCATGTTGTGGGTGAGGGCTTTTTTGGATAACTTGATTGCATTGCTGTGAGTGTCCTTGACGCTTACATCAGGGGTTTTCGTTTGTGGTGGATGTTGTCTCGCACGCCTGGCTCCACAACACTTCATGCTGAAACTGCATGCATCGTCCCGGAACCAAACTCTGACACTTCCGTTCCCCGGACCCTTAGTTGTGTTGCCCAAACCCCTGGTCGCCCTGCTTGGGCTGTTGGGCGATTTTTGCACACCTTCCCCATCGGGAGAGATGTTTGCTTGGATAGGATCTTCGAATGACAAAAGCTCAGAAGTTCAACGTGCAGAACTGAAAATCTTCTTTCGCTCCAGCCACCAAGGATTCACCGGTTTTATGCAGCAATCGACACACGATATGCTGGTGCCTGAAGATAGCAGGACGACGAATCAGTCTAAACCCTGCCAAGTCAGTGTAACTCCCGTGCCCTAGGCCCTAGACTCCTCTTGAACTTAAGCGCCCTGGGCCGGAAGCGGTCAATTACCTTTCCTTAGATTGCATCTACAGTTGCCCTCAAAGCCCTGTATACAGCATAGATCCTGGTGAAAGGGAGCAGGCCACATGCAGAGCCGATGATTACATCGCATGCTGGCCTTAGTTCCTGTCCGTACTTCATCACAGTCGAACAGTATAGTCGTGATATTCTAGACCATACTCATCAATCTGGTCCTGAATGTAGATCGTCCACTATCATAGTAGTTGTGATGACGGTGCGGATGATGATGATCATGATGATGACGGTGATCACCGTCATCATGGTTATAAGCACCATCACCGTCCTCATCGTCAACATCACCAACATCATTCTCATCAGCGTCATCATCATCATCATCACCATCATCATCACCACCATCGTCAGCATCATCATCATCACCATCGTCATCATCATGGCGTGGCCCAATAATCATATTATTGGTTTGTGTCTAGGTTTCCGGTCTTTCGTTTATGGCCCACTTGCGCTTCGGTTCTACAAGTTGACATGGCGGTGTCACGGTCTGGTGTTCACGATAACGGGGTTTATGCGTTGGGCTTGTGGCCCGGAGGGTTGTCTTCCGGGATTTGTGATGTCGACTTCACAGGTTGTTTTACTTGAGCGGTTTTGGTGCAGCATCCGGTTCATGGGGCTCGTCAGGGTCCTGAGAAGAAGTTATTTGCATGACCTGGAAAGCAACCTTTCCTCCTCAGGGCAGTGATCCAACGCAAGAAGCAGATGTCGTTCCCCTTTGTTTCTGCGGCCCTGAGATTCAGAACTGTTCAAGGTACATCTGCTATGTTCCGGGTCCGAGTCCGAGCAAGCCAGGTTTCTCTCTTCACGAGCACTCGAAGCGAGTTGGAGTATGGTCCTGCTCTGGACTCAAACTCTAGCCTCAGCTTTTCCCCTCAGCTTAACTGTTCGCTGGGCTAGCTGGGCTGGGCCCTCAGGAATACATCCACAGGGACCGAAAGATATTGTCAAATGGGGGGGCCGAGGGCGCGAAGCCGCAAGCCCTTCCCAGATCGCCATAAGAGTATTTGCTCGCGGCCCACGGCCCGCAGCCACTCACTCCTTTTAGGGTTTGGGGTTTCGCACCCACCCACCTCTTTGAGGGTTTGGGGTTTCGCAGCCACTCACTCCTTTTAGGGTTTGGGGTTTCGCACCCACCCACCTCTTTGAGGGTTTGGTGTTTCGCAGCCACTCACTCCTTTTAGGGTTTGGGGTTTCGCACCCACCCACATCTTTGAGGGTTTGGGGTTTCGCAGTCACTCACACTCCTTTTAGGGTTTGGGGTTTCGCAGCCACCCACCTCTTTGAGGGTTTGGGGTTTCGCAGCCACTCACTCCTTTCAGGGTTTGGGGTTTCGCACCCACCCACCTCTTTGAGGGTTTGGGGTTTCGCAGTCACACACACTCCTTTTAGGGTTTGGGGTTTCGCACCCACCCACCTCTTTGAGGGTTTGGGGTTTCGCAGTCACTCACTCCTTTTAGGGTTTGGGGTTTCGCACCCACCCACCTCTTTGAGGGTTTGGGGTTTCGCAGTCACACACACTCCTTTTAGGGTTTGGGGTTTCGCACCCACCCACCTCTTTGAGGGTTTGGGGTTTCGCAGCCACTCACTCCTTTTAGGGTTTGGGGTTTCGCGCCCACCCACCTCTTTGAGGGTTTGGGATTTCGCAGTCACTCACACTCCTTTTAGGGTTCGGGGTTTCGCACCCACCCACCTCTTTGAGGGTTTTGGGTTTCGCAGTCACTCACACTCCTTTTAGTGTTTGGGGTTTCGCAGCCACCCACCTCTTTCAGGGTTTGGGGTTTCGCAGTCACTCACACTCCTTTTAGGGTTTGGGGTTTCGCACCCACCCACCTCTTTGAAGGTTTGGGGTTTCGCAGTCACTGACACTCCTTTTAGGGTTTGGGGTTTCGCACCCACCCACCTCTTTGAGGGTTTGGGGTTTCGCACCCGCCCACATCTTTGAGGGTTTGGGGTTTCACACCCACCCACCTCTTTGAGGGTTTGGGGTTTCGCAGCCACTCACTCCTTTGAGGGTTTGAGGTTTCGCAGCCACTCACTCCTTTTTTAGGGTGGGGTTTCGCACCCACCCACCTCTTCGAGGGTTTGGTGTTTCACAGCCATCTCCTTTTAGGGTTTGGGGTTTCGCACCCACACAGTCCTTTTAGTGTTTGGGGTTTGGCAGTTTTTGAGGGGTTTGGGTTTCGCCGCCACTCACTCCTTTTAGGGTTTGGGGTTTCGCACCCACCCACCTCTTTGAGGGTTTGGGGTTTCGCAGCCACTCACTCCTTTTAGGGTTTGGGGTTTCGCAGCCACTCACTCCTTTTAGGGTTTGGGGTTTCGCACCCACCCACCTCGTTGAGGGTTTTCGCAGTCACTCACACTCATTTTAGGGTTTGGGGTTTCGCACCCACCCACCTCTTTGAGGGTTTGGGGTTTCGCAGCCACTCACTCCTTTTAGGGTTTGGGGTTTCGCACCCACCCACATCTTTGAGGGTTTGGGGTTTCGCCTTTAGGGTTTGGAGTTTCGCACCCACCCACCTCTTTGAGGGTTTGGGTTTCGCACCCACACATTCCTTTTTGGGTTTGGGGTTTCGCAGCCACTCACTCTTTTTCGGGCTTGGGGTTTCGCAGCCACTCACTCCTTTTAGGGTTTGGGGTTTCGCACCCACCAACCTTTGTGAGGTTTTGGGGATTCGCAGTCACTCACTCCTTTTAGGGTCTGGGGTTTCGCACCCACCCACCTCTTTGAGGGTTTGGGGTTTCGCAGTCACACACACTCCTTTTAGGGTTTGGGGTTTCGCACCCACCCACCTCTTTGAGGGTTTGGGGTTTCGCAGCCACTCACTCCTTTTAGGGTTTGGGTTTTCGCACCCACCCACCTGTTTGAGGGTTTGGGGTTTCGCAGTCACTCACACTCCTTTTAGGGTTTGGGGTTTCGCACCCACCCACCTCTTTGAGGGTTTGGTGTTTCGCAGTCACTCGCACTCCTTTTAGGGTTTGGGGTTTCGCACTCACCCACCTCTTTGAAGGTTTGGGGTTTCGCAGTCAAATACACTCCTTTTAGGGTTTGGGGTTTCGCACCCACCCACCTCTTTGAGGACCCACACACTCCTTTCAGGGTTTGGGATTTCGCACCTACCCACCTCTTTGAGGGTTTGGGGTTTCGCAGCCATCTCCTTTTAGGGTTTGGGGTTTCGCACCCACCTACCTCTTGGAGGGTTTGGGGTTTCGCACCGGTTTGGGGTTTCGCACCCACACGCTATCACACGCTCCTTTTAAGGTTTGGGGGTTCGCACCGATTCTTCCTTTTTGGGGTATGAGGGTTTCGTAGCCACTCACTCCTTCCTTTTAGGGTTCAGGGTTTCGCGGCCACCCACTATTTTTACCACTTACCCGTGTTGGAGTTCAGGGTTTCGCACCCACCCACCCACCCACTAGTTTGAGGTTTTGGGTTTTCGCACCCGCCCACCCCTTCGATTCAAGGTTTCGCACTCACCCAGTCCTTTTTGGGTTCAGGGTTTCGCACCCACACACTCATTTCAGGGTTTGGGGTTTCGCACCCACACACACCTTTCAGGGTTTGGGGTTTCGCACCCATTCTTCCTTTTTGGGGTATGAGGTTTTCGTAGCCACCGGGTTCAGGGCCAGGGTTTCACACCCACCCACTCCTTTTAGGGTTTGAGGGTTTCGAAGCCACTGACCCCGTTTTAAAAGGGTTCAGAGTTTCGCACCCACCCACTCCTCACTCCGTTTAGGGCCACGGCCCGCCGCCGACCGCGGCTTGCGGCCTGTGGCCCGCACTCGCGACTCGCCGCCGCTGCAAAGAAAACCTTTACCAAGCGGGTTGGGGGTTCTGATTTGGTTTGATGCTTCTCAACAAAAGAACAGGACGAGCACGCCGCCGTGCCTTCGCGTCTCCCTGCGCGGCATCTTGGCTTTGCGTCCTTGTAGAAGTCCATGCAAGTGTTCCTCTTTCGTGGTCCATGGTCCCTCCACTTTCAGGCCCCGTGAGCCCTGGAATCGACACAGACCGAACTTGCAGCGAGGGCATCCGCAAAAGCAATTTGACACGTCATTGTTGCAGCTCCTAGTAAGGCTTTCACGCAGACCCGAAGCCCGCAGCCCGTAGTCTCACCCTAGTTTATTGAAGAGGGTGAGATCATGCGATAAAGCTTGCCTTGGGATTAGCTCCGGCGTGGCATCCACAATGCATGCTTGGCGACATGACATTGATCTTTGTTTGAATCCACACCTTTCTTCCAGGTCTCTTTGCGTACTAACTATGCGGGAGAGATGCACTAAAGAGGAAAAACTGGCCACATCTGCAGCAGATCCAGAGCTCAGGAGATTAAGGTTGAAGCAGTGACTGCTTTCGTTGTTTCGACGGGTACGTTACACATCCTTAGCCTGAAGCTTGCGTCAGCCCTGAACTGCCAACCCAACGCCGAGGTGCCAGCGATATCAGGGTTGGAGTTGATCTCTGGCACGTGCCGATGCCTCACCTGCTGCTTGCCGAAAGAAAAGGCAGTTGATGAGGTTCTGGTTTCGGGACAGGCTCAGCACTCAGGTTGTAGAACGGATCAGCATTCAGAATCAGGTTTACCGCTAAGTGGCTTAAGTAAGGTTTGTGGGGGCCGAAAGACTGGCCTTGTTGAAGCTGAGAGCACAAGTTTGCGGAATCTGGATCCGGCGATCTGCTTTGTGGCTTGACGAATTGGATTCTAGGCTCAACCGTGACCTCCAACCGAACTTTATAAACCATACACCAGTCTTTAGATCCTCAAGGGCAGGCTGTTGCTGCAACATGCTGTTGTGTCATACAGTATCTTTGGTAAACACAGTTTCCTGGCCTCAACTTTTGACTGCCAGAAATGACAATAATATTCTATGAAAAGCTGGCATACAGTCGTTCGAGTCATTTCACAAGCATATTCGTTTCCGAGTTTGCTTCTCTTGTCCTTGCTGCGGCGAGCAGTCTGGTTGAGTCGCGAGCTTGGGGGCTTGCCGTGTTGTGATTGCATATGGATAGTTCTCCAAATCAGGCTCCCTTACATGGTCCTCTATATAAGGGTGGCGTACTATTTCTGGGACCCAAAACTCAAAACGGGACCCTACTTTAGAGAACTACCCATATCACGGGCGAGCACAGTGTACATATTGCGGTTGGCCAGTTGCCTTCTAGTCGGAGAGGAGCATGATCTTGAGCACTTTTTACAGATCGGCTTGCAGCTTGATGTTAGCTGCGCTATTCTGCCGTCGCAGCGGAACTCGGAAAAGCAAACATGAAACTTGGACTCGCTACCGATCAGAAGGGGACACTTTGACTTTTCCTCGGTTGTGACTACAGAAAGAAGGCTTCCAGCCAGTTTATGTATATATATTTATATATATATATATATACATATAATATGATTGAGAGGGAGAGAGAGAGGGAGAGAAAGAGAGAGAGAGAGAGTGGTGGTTACTGTCGTGCTAGTGGTAGTAGTAGCAGTGGTAGTGGCGGTAGTAGTGGCGGTAGCGGTGCCAGTAGTGGTGGTTGTGGTAGTAGTGAGTAGTGGTAGTAGTGGTAGTGGCGGTGGGTCTTAGTAGTGGAAGTACTGATAGCAATAATTGCCGTATCGGCAGCAGAAGCAGATATATTCATGATAGTAGTCGCCGTTGTGCTCGCAGTAGTAAAGGTACCCGCAGCCATCAAAGCCAGCAGTCTAGTGAGGTTCGGCAAGGACGGACCGCACCACCTACTAGCTCTCCGTGAGGCCAGTCCTGAGTAGTAAGCACTCAGGTCGTCCTCAACAAATAGTTTAGCTCGATGGCTATCATCTACTGATAGATGCCCGCACTCATCCTCATCCCAAAACTCTACACTCCGAGAGCCTTGTCTCTTGTCTGGAGTTGAGCTTTAGGTTCTCAGTGCAGGGTTCCTTCAATCCATGAAACGCCAGGCAGCGTATGCAGAACAATTCCAAGGACTTGTTGGTACACTGCTTCATGTCAGAAACGAGCCAAGTATGCAACAACCCAGTATCGCAAAATGAACCATGGTGTATTACGTTGACAAGACTCACTGGTCTTTCATGTTCATGGAAAATATGCACCAACAGGTTCTCGACCCGCCCCAAGACTCCTGAGCCTCCAGCCTCAAACGGCATTCGACACAGGACTGGGAGGCGCGCAAACCGCCCGAAGCGAAGTTTCTTGACAAACTTGTTGGGATTCCAGGTTTTGAGTACGTCTGGGGATATAAAACTTCACGCATCAGGTTGTAGCAACACCCAGCTTCGACTATCGTGCACACCTTGCTTCTTGCTGCACACAGTGCCTCGTGCACGGTATTGTGCCGTTCAATCCATCGAGCTCCTGCTTGCGACTGCCGAAACCACACGAAAAGAAGCGTCGCGATGCTTGCCTTGTATCCTGCGGACTCCGATGCAGTTACATACAAACACCGACACACTGACACACACACACACACACACACAATCCTGGTACATATGCATGTACACTCACAGACATGCACATACATACATGCACATGTATGTCTTCAGAGATACAGGCACATCCTTAGTCCGAGTCCAAGGCAGAGCGAGCAAATCGAGAGAATTCCGACGAAAGCGCGAGCGTCGGCGGGGACTCGGGCGACGTCGGAGGCTGGATCCCAGGCCTGTCGGGCGCGTCAGCACGTTACGGCACTACGGTTGTGAGTTTCCGCCAGTTGGAGCCTGGTTTTGAAACTTGCATTTGCAGCCTTTAGACACACAGCAAGAAGTGTGAGACTTTCATTTCTTGCTGGCTGGAACGAATGGAACCCCTCCGATCCATGCCCGAAAGTTGCACACGTCTTCATAATGTTAATAACCAGCATAAGGTTACGGTTCTCGACCGCACCCTTTCTTGGTGCAAGCGATGACCTCAGTGCTGCCAACACTTGCATTGTCAACGTCAGGCCCAGGCTGGCTTCTGCCGGGAACCCGACAAGCCCTAAAACTTCAACAGTGACGCTGAGAGAATCCCATGCATGGTGCAGCATCACCCGGAGCCAAAGTATTCCAACACTCATAAAGTAGAGCTCGTGGCCCAAAGGCATCGGATGCCCGTAGCTCTGCCAACATGTGGTTAATGTCAGTACTCAGTAGACGTTGGGTACCATCGCGGCATCCTCGCGCTTTCTGAAGCCTCCATGCAAGGGAGCCTATTTCGAAGCCACAAGCCGGGAACCCTGAAAGCCTGAATCCAAAACCCTTGTTCAGGCAGGCTTGCTGTCACAGTCCTCCTACAACTCGCTGATGCAGAACTTCCCGGAGCTAGTGGTTTCTCTGCAGCTGAATAATTGGTGCAGAAGGAAACGGGGTGGTTTGAACCTTTTCGCCTATCGGAGTGGGAATTCCTTGGCTGGAAACCTCACAAGCCGATGATTGATGACACTCATAACAAAACCTAGAAGCCGAGTAGCAAGAGCCGAGGGCTGCCAAGGAGTGGCCTGCGAATTCAGGATACAAAGTACGGATTGTGGGATCTAGCGCTTTGCGTTTTTTCCCGGCTTTAGGGCGAGGTGCCCAGTTCAGGACAGGGGTTCAGGGTTCAGCAAGATCCCGAAGTGCCCCTCGTTCAGTTGTCTTGTAGGCAGGCGTAGGCGGGTGATTCTGATGGCTGGCGGCTACGTTGCGTTGGGGTTATGTTCGTCATGTGTAGCAGTAGCAGGAGTAATAGCAGAAGGAGCAGTAGCAGTAGTAGTAGTAGTAGTAGTAGTAGTAGTAGCAGTAGGTAGTAGTTAGTAGGTAGTAGGTAGTAGGTAGTAGGTAGTAGGTAGTAGGTAGTAGGTAGTAGGTAGTAGTAGTAGTAGTAGCAGCAGCAGCAGTAGTAGTAGTAGTAGTAGCAGTAGCAGTAGCAGTAGCAGTAGGAGCAGCAATGAGCAGCAGCAGGAGTAGGAGTAGGAGTAGGAGTAGGAGTAGGAGCAGGGGCAGTAGCAGTAGTAGTAGTAGTAGTAGTAGTAGACAACATGACGAAGAGCAAAATATGAAATTGGCACGCCGAGTACAGGGCACCCTGGATTTCTTTTGTTGAATGTGTGCATGTTTTGCATATATTTGTTTATCGCGCGGCTGTCCGAGGGACTGAATTTCATAGACCAATGATTTCTTAAGCATTGCTGTTGCAGTAGTCGTAGTCGTAGCAGTAGCAGTAGCAGTAGCAGTAGCAAGCAGTAGCGGTAGCAGTAGCAGTAGCAGTAGCAGTAGCAGTAGCAGTAGCAGTAGCAGTGTAGTAGTAGTAGTAGTAGTAGTAGTAGTAGTAGTAGTAGTAGTAGTAGTAGTAGTAGGAGTAGCAGTAGTAGTAGTAGTAGTAGTAGTAGTAGTTGTAGTAGTAGTAGTAGTAGTAGTAGTAGTAGTAGTAGTAGGAGTAGCAGTGGCAGTCGCAGTAGCAGTAGCAGTAGCAGTAGCAGTAGAAGTTTTTGTTGTTGTCGTTGTAGTTGTTGTCGTTGTTGGGGTGGTTTGAGTATGTGTCCGAAGTAGCACTGGGAGTAGTGAGTAGTGCTGTATCAGCAGCAGTGCTGCCGCAGTGCCAGTAAGGCTTATCGTGTCGTTTCGGATGTGGATGTGACCACAGAGATGTTGCGGCTACTCTTTCAGCCGGGAGTACATGGTGTCAGGGACGGTAGTGCCGAAGTGTTCTAACAGGAAGCTACTGCAAAACAGCATTAATGTGGGGCGCCGTAGTACTGACGAGTCAACAGAAATCGTTTTGAGACAGCTCCTCAAGATCGTCCGTACCTCGGAGGCTCTTCCCTTGGGAATGCTGCCCCTGGGTTTTTGAGTGTGGTCCCCTGTTCGATCATGAACCCAGGACATGACATTGCTCGTCGATGGCAGCACACATTGGCTTGATGTGGTGCCTTTGTCCTGGATGTTTCAGGGCTTCAGGCCTTCATGCAGACGTCTTGCTAGGCTCAGAAGTCCGGGGCCTAAGTGCCATTAGCCAACAATCGTCTTGAGACTCGTACCCGAAATCTCGCCGTCCAAAGTCAGCTTGACCAGAGACTGGACACGCCACGTATATGATAGACCGTGCGAACGACTGAAGACACCTGCCTGACCGTTGCATCCAAGGAGCAGGCGCATCTACGCTTCGTGAAACGGCCCTCAGATCCCGATGCATGTGGCATGGCACTGAAGACGACACCAGCAGGGTGATTCTGGTGAGTATGGTAAGGATGATTAGACCCATGAGCGAGCTAGTTTTAGTTGTCTGTTTGCAGTGCGACTATGTTCCTGGTGGCGACAAGCAGGGTTGTGGGGTCACCGCGGTCGTCGTCCGAAGCATGGACGTCACCATCGTCGTCGTCGCTGCACTGCAGGCTCGAATCAGGCTAACATGGAAAAACCGTCAGTTTTATAGTCGTCGTCGTACACGTCGGAATAATAGTGGAAGCATGGTGAGTGGCATGTCTTCGCTAGTAGCAGCGGCCGTGAGCGACACTGGCATGAATACGGGAAGTGGGAGCCGACCATAATGGAGTAAAGTGAAGCCCTTCTTGGTGCTCGGGCATATGGCAAAGCATGGCGAGACGATACCGAACACAAGTACAGACAGACCCAGATGGGGCAGTCTCTTGGGGCTGGATGCTATA